CACGTCTGGTAGTTTAACAATATCGTCTGACGTCAGTCTATCTCTCATCTTTTCCTCCAGTAGATTCATACTAAACTCCTTCAAGTCCTTCACACCTGGTTTCTCCGGCAGAATACCTTCGTAATCGTGAAGTATCTCCTCCACCTCGCCACGTTGGTTTGACGTTAACGTTACGTCAAGGACGACGTCTACGCAAGTTTCATTCCCCTCAACGGACAACTAGGTAGTACTTCCGCCACTCATCCGTTGTCGTCGGGTTCTTCCGTAACAACTGTAGCAACCACGAACTCAGTAGGTGACTTTCTTTCGGTATCGTTTAAGTAGGTTAACGTGGTACAGCTTCTCTTTATCGCCCACCCTGATGCGATAATTCTGTCCACCCTTCTCCGTTACAACGAACGGTCCTCTCCAAGACACTTGGAGTTTGTTATGTTCTAATGGCAACAACAACAACCCCTTGTCGCCTACCTCAAACTTACGTTCTTTCGCCTTCTTGTTGTAGTACTTGGCCTGACGTCCCCTTGCATCACATAGATTTTTCTGGGCCAAGTTACAAACTTCCTCCAGTTTATTACGGACGTCAACAACGTACTGATATGTTGTTCTTACCTCTTCGGATGCTTTCTCATCCGTCCATAACTGCTTCAATACAGCCATGGGTCTTCTCACTGTCCTCCCACGATCCCGGAGTCAGGTCTAACTTTTCCCAAGAAAGATTTAAGACTAAAGAATTTTCCTAAAGTGAAACCTTTAATTTCTTACAGAATTACGCCCATAAATCCATATTAACCAATCGGAATAGACTTTATCCTAAACCTGTTCCGTAGAATTTTTGGATTGACAAGACAACTAAACAACTAATCATCCCGTAATTAATCATTACTTTGAACAATCATCTATAGCCAGCTCCCGCCCTTTACCCTGTCAATTTTGGAAAAGGATCTTATGTCATTCTCTTCTACCATAGCATCTGACTCGGTCATGTTACGTCAGGTGGAACGAATTCCCTTTTGACGTTCAGAGATGAAATTATAATAATCATCTAACTATCTCTAGCCCTTTCTCCTTTAATTAAGTTGACTTTGATACAATTCCTTTAACCAAAGCTTCTATGAGTTTGCAAAATTCGACACATCACACTATTTAAGTTTGAATGATTTTGTATGACATAAAGAAAGATGTAATTATCTTTCTATTTCAGAATTAATGAAGTTATCATGAAAAATTGTACCATTCAGATTATAACATTTGGCATTCGAATTTATTGTTTTACGGGTACACCTGAAAGAAATGTTGCATGCTGTGTACTAAGCAAGAATGAAGTATCACATATCACAATAAACATTTTCATTCACAACCATGTGGATAATCCTCGCAGAGAGTAAGCTAGAGTGAAAAGGACAACTGGTATGTGGGTGACACACAAGTTTCGACATTGTAGTTTCTAGTTTGACCGTACTAATCTAATTTTACAAATTATTTTAGCCTGAATGAGATACGTGTACAACATTTAATCTCGTTACTAAAGAACGATGTTTAAAATATTCTTAACAAATTTCGTTCATAATGTTAGCTTTTTAAATGCAAAACAAAATTCACGTAAATGTGCTAGAAACAGGCATTCAGAACCGTTGATAAGATTATCCTAGACAAAACTGCTGTCCCAAACTATCATTAGAAAATTTGTCTTATCTTTGTCAGGTCCACTCAATACGTTGCGTCATTTTAGTTCTATTTTCTTTGATCTAATTGCTTAGCGACATATTATTTGTCTGAAGGCAACCTTGTGTCGTAGAAACACTTTCTTAAAGTAAACTTAAGTTTTACTTTGACATACTGCATATATGTATTCGTTATTTAAATTTTGCGAACAATCCAGCGTTCTGCTGAAATTTTGATTTTGATCGCCCACCTTTCTATCCGGTCTACGGCTTGCACCAAGCCCATAAAAAGTTCCTGCGGATGCACATGATGTTAATATTAGACAGATCGAATATGGCGAAAGAGAGGTGTTCAATGGACAATATCATCGGAACACAAATTATCGCTCTTTTAAAGCAGCCAATATAGGATCTTACAAGCTTACACTCAATATATAAGTATACCTAGTATTTCATGGTACTGGTGTTTATCAGATTTATTATGAATTCGGACTGTTATTTCAAATATCGACCATAATGAAATTCCAAATTCCTCATTTTGGAGAGCCTTGTAATTAAGAATTTGTCATCCTTGGTTTTTTTTTTCTTAGTCTTATAATACTTAGTTGGAAAGGTCTGTATTGTATCACAGATCCTCAAATTGAACCTTCCCGTCTTAATGCAGTAAGATCAATATTAAATTGATCCATTTCTTCCATTTGTGTTGGCATTATATCAAACAATAACGGTACAAAGTGGGATAAAAGAGTTTTCTGATGCTGCTAGACACTTAATCAAATCTGATTTCCTGTCTTTGTAGAAAAGCTTTTGATAGTGTGTTCTTGTGGTTTTACATGATTGGGAATGCTATATACAATTGTAGAACACTTCGGTATAATGTTACAATCAATCAGTTCACTGTTGCTTGTCTTCAATTTTTCTTATTAATCCGGTCAATTGATGAATAGCAAAATAGATACAGTTATGTAATTTAATTTTAAATTGTTTGTTAGTTATGTTTGTTTTGTTTTTTAAATTATTATATACTATGGATTATTTTAGTTTGGACTTGAACTGCCCCAAAATCAAGTTCATGTTTTTTCTGACTAAAGGCATTGAAGTTGTTTTTGTTTTGTAAACGAATAATATATAGCTAATATATTTTAATGGACCATCGAATGCTAATATCAAGATCAATATCAACAAAAGTAAACATATTTATCTGCGTCTCGGTCACGTGTTGCCGTCATAATAATGTTTTACATTTCCCTCCAATTTATTGCATAAATATTGATTATCCATTAAGATAAGAGACATGGGTGTATATGGTAGTTTTAGTTTAAAGGATTTTAAGCGGTCATATATGGCAATGTTAGAAACAAATTCTACAGAGTTCACATATCTGATACTGATCAAAATTCTGACCAATAGGACTTGGGATCTGCATTTGTCATCCCTGTAAATGCACAAATTTATAATGTTAATGAATCCTGACTATGTCTCCATTATGTAGTTTTGATAAATTATTGCCCTGGTGTAAAACTACTGTTCTGGCAGCCGTCTTGAGCCCTAGCTTGGGTGAACATTCAAAATTGGTTGGGAATCTACTTTGTATTGGATGTTATTTTTTCCCCACTTTTGTACCATGTAACATCATGGTTATTGAAATTCCCCTATACAAAATACATAGTTTACCTGATGATTACCCAATTCTACAATATAATTTTAGTAACAGATTATTCTAGGATGCAAGTTTCACTTAAGTAATAGATTTTTTATGTACTTTATGCTTTATAATCTTGTTTTTTTAGAAATTACTCATTCGTGCGTTCGGTAGTTTATTTGGGTTCGAGTTTATTTATTCACTGGAAATACAATGCGCTCACAAATTATATTTCTAGACAGCGACTTTACCTGGGTATTATAGTGAAGTCAAACAAAGTCATCATGGATTATACTATTCTGATTCATCAAAAGACTGTTAACACATCATTACGTCACAGGCAACTACCTATACATCATCATCTTCAGCGTTGGATCTTATTTCGAACACCACTGGAATTTAATTAGAACTCTATTCAATAGTACTGGTGATAAAACGTTTTATTACTATTTGGGATTTAATTCGCATTACTGAAAGCTCGTTTAAAATTTGAATTTTTGTACTCTAGGGAAATGAATGATTTGTTTCATTTTACAAATTTTGTTGGTTTTAGCGCTTTCCTATTACTTAATTTTAAATTATAGAGTCATAATAACATCATTTTCTGCTTAAAGGTTTCTTAGCATATGCATGACACTATTTTTGTCCTGATTTAGCTTTGTTACACTGTTATGGAGCTCAACAATTAGTTTTGTACATTGAATTTTTGTATAATAGACAGGCGGCCAAAACAAAAATACCAAAACAAAAGCTGATTGGTTGTTTTGCAGTTCATCACGTGAACAAATTAACCAAAGAGTAAAAACAAACTGGATTCCTAGCCAATACATGTACATCTTCTTTGCATGACAGAAACGTGTTTAATTTCTTTTCTGTCTCCTGTCCGTTGGATGAGTTATCACCATTTAAAAATGGTTCTAATGTGGCTAATTGAAAATGATATTGACAATACCGCGCAGATTAGGATTTTGTGCAGCACGCAAGGCAAAGTCTCACTTTGATGCTGTGCCACAGTGAAGAATGTCACCGTATCGTACGTTTGAAAATAATTACGGACAGCAACTCATTGCCCCGACATTATCCAGTGTGATTTATTGAGGACACAGTTAATGATTTTCTTTTATTTTCTTCCACCTTTGAAAACGAGTACTGTTTCTGTAGCTCTATTATGTAATAATAATAATAATAATAATAATAATAATAATAATAATAATAATAATAATAATAATAATAATAATAATAATAATAATAATAATAATAATATTTAATAATAAAAATAATAATAATAATAATAAGAAGAAGAAGAAGAAGAAGAAGAAGATGAAGAAGAAGAAGAAGAAGAAGAAGAAGAAGAAGAAGAAGAAGAAGAAGAAGAAGAAGAAGAAGAAGAAGAAGAAGAAGAAGAAGAAGAAGAAGAAGAAGAAGAAGAAGAAGAAGAAGAGGAGGAGGATTAGGAGGAGGAAGACGAGGAAGAAGAGGAAGAAGAAGAGGTGGAAGATGAGGAGGAGGAAGAAGAACAACAATATCAATGATAACTTATCACGAGTCAATGCAGCAGGCGATTATTTTGTTATGTAATTAGTCCACAAAAGATGGAAGTAATTTTTAAGATACTCTCAGAAGGATTTGTGGGAATACACTTTCAGTGAATGTAGCGCTTAGGAAGACACAAATCGTATGCAGAGTAAACCGCTCCGGTGGCTTAGTGGTTAGAGCGTCCGCCTTGGATGCGGAGAGTCGCTGATTCGAACTCTGGACAAGTCACACTAAAGACTTTAAAAAATGGTACTAACAGCTCCCTCGCTTGGAGCTCAGCATTGAGATGTTAGTGTTAGGACTGGTTGGCCTGGTGTAAGGGTAATGAGAGTAAGTGGGACATCATGCTACATGTCTGGGGCATGATGCCCCAGTGTTGGACATAACTATAAACTGTCACACTGCAGACATCATAGCATCATACATTTTGGTATCTGGTGCTAGGTTTATAAAATAATCTGTGAAGGAGTATTAGCAATACTGGTACGTTTCGCTATCTGAAAAAATTATACGTGTGTGGGCGATTTAGATTTTTAACGTAGCTTTATATTGTTAAAGCTAAGTTAAAACTCCAAATCACACACACATGCACGCAAACACTCACGCACACATATATTTTGCAAAAACATTGTAAGTTGCCAAGGCTGGAATGTTTATAATATCAGATTGAATGTTTTTCGTCAGTTTCATTACATTTAATTGGCTCGTTGAAGAAAGAACTTTTAATATCTTGCCCTAACAGGGTCGATGATGACGAACTGTCTTTTCTACTTGTATGTATAATTTACACCCATTTTAGAACAACTTTCTTCGTAGAAAAATTCAATAACTGATATATACTGGCTAGAGTTTTTGAACAAAATAAAGAAGACCGTTACTGCTTTCCCCCCATTCCAAATAATTACGAAGGGGATTTTGAAAGCTCTGAATATTTTGCCATAAGTTTTTTGTTGTTTATTGGAATCTGTAAATAAAAATATTGCAGATCGATAAACAAAATAACTTTCTGATGATTGCATGTGCAGTACGCCAGACATTTGTAATAATAAGTGTTGCGCAGCATAGGTAAATGACAGGAACGGAAAACTGCCAGCAATCAATTCAACTATTGAGCAAAGATCTTAACTGCAAAATCCTGGCACTGTTAGTGTAATCGACGACTGATATCACGGCCAACTTGGATCGAGTTTAGGAATGTTATTCCTAGTCATATGCTACCATTTTATCGTTTTAAAAATGATCTCGAATCCAGAGACCAACGTATGGAACATCTTTTGCTGCGATTGGTGAACCGGAAGTTGTTGTTCCCAAGGGTACAATTGACGAAGAAGCTCTATAAAAAGTAGAAGATAACTCTATTAGCATTCGCCTTAGTTCGTCAGCTTTTTTGTATTTTCAAGATTCACAGTGTTATACAAGGAGGGTCCATCACTTGTTGATGGCTGATCAAAAACAGGCCAGGTTTGAAATCTTTAAGAGCCACTCGCGATATATGAAATGAGTGAATAGAGACGTTTGAATGAGATTATCACAGTCGTTTGAATGAGATTATCACAGGTCGTTTGAATGAGATTATCACAGGTGATGAAACGTGTATTTATTTTCTTAACATTATTCAAGAGAAAATAGTAATGCTCGGATGAGAATAAAATGAGTGAAGGCTACAAATCGTTCGAGTTTTATACGCAATGATCTTCGATACAAGTGGATTGGTTATCCAAGTACAAATAGCTTACTCGGTTAGTGTTTCTAGACATTTATATGCCCCCATAAATGTTGAAAAATGTTGTGAAAAACTTTCGAACGACAGATCCGCGCACTGGCACCAGAAGTATGCATCTACTCTATGAAAACGCACCGGTCCCTAAATTTTGTCGCCATGAGAAATTTTCTGAAGGTGCGAGGCATCTAATTTTGGACATATCCTCCCTCCATATGACTCTGTTTTAGTTCTGAGTGATAGTTGGATGAATGCCGTTGGTATTGCTGAGGGATAGACGAGTTGAAAGCCGCTTAGCGGCTGGAAGTGCAGCTTTTCAGTCTATGAAAAGAATACAAAAAAAAAATGAATACAAAATGGCATTTAATAATTGGAAAATCAGACTAATAGAGTGTGTAGAAGTAAACGGTGCCTATGCTGAGAGTGTGCACGTCGGTACTGTTGACCAATCAAGAATTTTGTTGAACAGTACTCTTTATATACATATTCTTTGCTTCCATCTTTGATCTTCAAGTCCATTCTTTCCTCTTTCGAGACGTGTTTCATTAGACAGTGCTAATAATAATGTCGGTTATTGATATTTCTTCTACAATTTATATTTTGTACACAATACCACCATACTGACTCTCTTATTTTATTTTTCTCCATATCCTGTATATAGCATATTTTGTACAGTAAACACTCTGAGTTTGACCTCCATGTGAAACTTTCAGCGGAATAGCTGTTATTGTGCTAAGTTGACATACTGTGAAATTGTCAGCAGATAATTTAACCGACAGTGTGCTATGTGGGTAATCGATGAGGTTGTGAGCAGGAAAGCCTCGCTGCTAATATGCTAGCTTTGCAGATTGTCAAATCTTCAGGGGAACAACCTAGATGCTACTATACTAACTTTGCACAGTGACAAATTTTCAGCAGGATAGCTTCGCTGCTAATTTGCTAACTTGGCAGACTGTCAAGTGTTTAGCAGGATAGCTTCGCTGCTAATTTGCTAACTTGGCAGACTGTCAAATGTTTAGCAGGATAGCTTTGCAACGACCATGGTAACTTTGCTGATTGTCAAACGTTCCAGCAGAGTAGCTAGGCTAATGTAATGTTAAGTGGATGGGCTGTGAAACTGTCTGCTGGATAGCTCGGTTATTTCTATGCTAAGTGAAAAAACTAACACACTAATGGATATAACCAACGTTCTGGCAGAGAGCTCTACACTAAACATGTAACCTGAGGATAAACGTTCTATTTTCTTGATCATGTGTACTGTTCCTAAATACGGAATGAAAGCTCTTTATCACACTTACAGAAGAAAAGGGTGTTATATTATCATACAAAAAGTATCTGACCAAGCGCATTGAAATTTTGCTCTAGGCGTTAAAAAATCGATTGTACTATATAATAGTCTTTGCAACATTCTCAGTTGTTGTTAACCGCTCCTGTGGCCAAGTGGTTAGAGCGTCCGCCTCAGATGCGTGAGGTTGCAGGTCTGAGCCCTGGCCGAGTCATACCAAAGGCTTTACAAAATGGTACTAATAGCTGCCTCGCTTAGCATTAAGAGGTTAGTGTTAGGACTGGTCGGCCTGCTGTCAGGATAATGTGATTGGGTGGGTCATCATACCACATATCTGATGATGCCCCAGTACTAGACGTTACTAAAAACTGTCACACTGCAAACATCGTAGGAATATGACTGAAAAATTGTTAAAGTTACATTAAAAATCTAAATCACACACACACACACACACAGCTGTTAGCTGTTGTTATTGTGAATATTATGGTAGTTTTGTTATCAGCATGACAGTATGTCAATCAAAGCAAGAAATTGGCTTTCTTTTGGTTCAATCGTTTAATCTTTTATTTCACCGTTGATTAACTCAGAAACATTCTGCAGATCTTCAGAGCCTGTGCGTCAACGATTTCACGGCTTTTATGTACAGCTGCTTAATAACGGTAAATATCGCACGAGCTGCACATTACCGCCTTACTACTGTAATTAGGAATATCTGAAGAGAATAAAATCTCTCATCTATATGACGTTATTTGGCAATTCGTGTTTGATGGGGATTTTATTGACCTGTCTTATCGTGTCACAAACAGGGAGTGAGTTGAAATTTCGATACAACGTGTGCAAATATGTTTGTTGTCCTTTAGAAATGCCGTCACTTTCAACAATAATACCCGAGAGAAACAAAAAAGTGCAGTGGCCCAGGGCCAAGCTTTCCCGTTTATTGATTGTAATTTCCATGGCTGAAGATACAGATCCAAGAGAATGACGGGAATCCTTGTGTCGAGGATGATACTCGCAGTAAAACACTGAGATGAAACGGAATGTCTATGATTGAAATAATAATGATATATGAATACATGGACATATACTTCAAAAAGATTTTCTAAGAGTAATGTTGAAATTATTATTGTATTCGTAGTTGATGTTGCTTTAGTTGTTATTGTTATCATTAATGTTGCTGTTACTGTTTATTATGCATTTAAATGTATTAAATCATAACGAGTATGTCTCCTGAATAGTACGCAAAGGGTTGCTGTAAAAAAAAAACAGCAGCAGGAGAGCTTCAAATACAACATTAACAGTTTATCTTAAATATCGCAGCATCTGTATGTGAAGACTTCTTTTAAAGACCTCACCAGTGACCTAGCGATTAGAGCGTCCGCATAGGATAATGGAGGTCGCGGGTTCGAACCCCCGCCGGAGTCATACTAAAGACATCAAAATTGTACTAGCAGCTGCCTCGCTTGGCGCTCAGCATTACGTGATTAGTATTAGGACTGGTCGACTTGGTAAGAGGATAATACGACTCGGTGGGACTTCATGCCACTTGTCTGGGGAATGATCCCCCAGTGCTTGACATCATTCTAAACTGGCACACTGCAGACTTCGTTGCGATATTACTGACATACTGTTAAATCCAAATCACATACATACATATACTTCTTGTGAAACTTATCTAAGCAAGAATACTTGAATATTATGTTAATTCGGAATATGGAGTAAGTACTAATAGGTTTCCACATTTTAAACAAGCAGATCAAGCTGAGTTGTTTTCGATACTCCTGGATTTACAGAAAGGGACAACCATATATATATATATATATATATATATATATATATATATATATATATATATATATATATATATATATATATATATATATATATATATATATATATATTGTTTTCCTTCAAAAACTGCACTATGTGCAAAAATTCGTAGATCGACGCCTATAGCAATAAATCATGCATTCAAAACATAACATGTCAATCAACAAATGACCCTTTAACGTCATGGAAGAAAAATCCGGAGACTACCTACAATTAGGGATGCAGCCAATAAATTTACCTCAGAGATTCAATCGAACGAGTGTTAGTAATGCTTCAAAACGTTAAGTTGAATGGTAGGTAATACATTAGATCCATATCCAATCCAGTAATGAAAGACTGCAGCAATAAACAAACATCCATGAGTAGTACACGATAATATATTTCTCAAGAGGAATGTATTTGCTGAAAGTATCAGAGACGTGTTCATAATCTCGTGCCTTCCTCTTGTCTGATATGTTGATTTATCGCCATGGTTTCGTTGTGCCAACATGGCTGATTCACAATGGATTCAGATGCATGCAAATCCATTTCTCTTTTAGTCACCGTACCTCTCGGATGAGTATCTTTCAATTGCAAACTTCGAAACCATATTGATCAAATCACTGCCGAAACATTTCACAAATTTATTGCCTTAGTTACAAACTCAGATGCAATATTCAGTCGCTCCTTTCTTTGTCCTCACACAAGTTCGGGCGCAGCATCGTCATGCCCATTCCAGTATATAGGTGGCACTCACCAGTTATTATGTACTTTTGAGAGAGTGATGTATGTAAGGTGAACTTGTTTGCAATTTAAACATGCACAGTGGAGAGATTGTTGGCATACCTATATGCTACTTTCATGTAATATGGCTGAAATTTCGTTGGATATTGTGCTTTTGGAAATTTTAAATGATCTTAGTACACTGCTAATTAAAATGACTGCTCCCTAGTGCTCCAAAAATCAACCTGAATTTGTCTAAAGTACACTATCCTTGGCAGCTATTAAAATAGAGAAAATGAATTTTGCCAAGCTAGACAAAACCAGCTTCTAAAAGTGCAATTAAAGAATTACCAAATTAATTACATGTAAAAATAGTTATCGGCTCTATTTTTTTACAATTCACCTCTGAAGTTCGGGAAGTGAAAATGAGCAAGTAGAGCTAGCACGTTTTTGAAAGGTGCACATCTGGAGTAAGACCAAGTTGTATACTTTCAAACCCAAATTACACCCATCAATCATACAACAAAATAAAAGGAATTAAAGGTTCTTGGAACAATACCTAATATATACAAAGTTTTTATTAGATAGCCAGTATAACTAGGGGGAAACCCGGGGAAATTCTTTTTCTGTAAAATTCTAACTCTATGCTAAACACGAAATTGTAGAGCGCCACCATATCGAGACAATCTGAGTGAATAAAATCCTTTTCACGCAGGAGCTAGATTTAGCAATGCAATTATGCGCTCATCAGACCTGTCTTATCATTGTGCCAAACAGGTGGCGTGCCTAATTTGTGATACAACGGGTGTATAAAGTATTGGTCTCGCATATTAATTTCCACTCATTAGCTTCAGCAACCTGTCAGTTTCAAGTTGGGACTGATTTTATGCTTGGTGACTGATAAGCTTGTCTCAGGCGTTAAAACCCAAACTTCGGTAAAATAGTTTTTCATTTTTAGGGCATTTTAACAAATTCCTATAATATTATTATAATGAATCAATATGAGACATATTATTTTTTACTTTGTGATGGGGTAAACTCCATTTTCCAGCCCATGATTTATAATAATGGCGACCCGTATAGCTGCTGGAAGAAGAACCAGGGAAAACCCCCAGGAAAAACCACCGATCCACAGGAAGTTACTGGCAAGCTTTCTCACATACCCACGTTGGCCCAGACCGAGACTTGAACAGAGGTGATATCTGTATAGGTGAGCGCTTTTGACCACTCAGTCATCCGGGGCTTTCTACATATGAGTTAACAAAATTTAATAATTGTAAAAAGTGATCTAAAGTTTTCGGAAAACGAATTTGTTTATTTAATTCGCGATTCGACAATTATGTGATTTTGCCATATATTCCACAGTTACCAATATGAGATTAATAACCCGAATATTTAAGAAGTGTTTTAGGGAAAGGGGGTGAGTGAGAGTTCTGGAAAAGATGACACATAATGAGTGTATTTCAAAAATGAACTATTTGGGTACTTCTAATGCATCCAGAGCGAGGTAATGTCCTGATAGTCAAAGTGAGATATGATAACTCCCTGAAATTCCATAATCCTTCATTTAGGCTGGAGAAACGTTAATATCAGCCTCATGTGAAAAACTGATGGGGTGTGTCTACAAATGATTAAACTTCATCTCCAAATTCCAATATCACATACACACGTTTCGAGGGAAACATAGAGTACTTAGCTTCATTAATACACACGGTGTCCTGTTTCTATTAAAGAGGAAAGAAGCATTAGAATTGTAGAGCTTCTCGTTGCTATGTCAAGACAATTATGCGAATCTATCATCTCCGAGCTCTTCCTTTGACAGCTGATTCCTGGTACATGTCTCCGGAACCCATCAGTGCTTTCATATCTTTGACCGGCAGGTAATTAGTGATGATAGCTGAGTTCATCAAATTTTTCATGATTCTCGACAACTTCTGTGCCACAATTTTAAAGAAAGATATATCTGTCTGTATCGTTTTAGTACCTGACTGAGAATTGCATGTTTCTTAGATCCACTTCGCCTCTGATTAGATTTATTGACTGTGGCAGTTAATTGTGAAACCATGCCTTACATTCATTTCAAGATTTCATTCTCTGTTCTTTGTCTGCAAGGTTAAAACTAGTTATGTTGGCAGATTAGACTGCATTGCGTAAATTCATCTTTCAAGTTGTAAAAAGCCACAATACCACAATCTACCACAATCAGTGGTAGATTGTAGTGGATTGTGGTAGTCTGTGGTGGATTGTGGTAGATTGTAGTGGATTGTGGTAGATTGTAGTGGATGGTGGTAGATTGTGGTGGATTGTGGTAGATTGCAGTAGATTATGGTAGATTGCAGTGGATTGTGGTAGTCTGTGGTGGATTGTGGTAGATTGTAGTGGATTGTGATAGATTCTGATGGATTGTGGTAGTCTGTGGTGGATTGTGGTAGATTGTCGTGGTTTGTGGTAGATTGTGGTGGATTGTGGTTGTCTGTGGTGGATTGTGGTAGATTGTAGTGGATTGTGGTAGATTGTAGTGGATTGTGGTAGTCTGTGGTGGATTGTGGCAGATTGTAGTGGATTGTGGTAGATTATGATCGATTGTGGTAGTCTGTGGTGGATTGTGGTAGTCAGTGGTGGATTGTGGTAGTCTGTAGTGGATTGTGGTAGTCAGTGGTGGATTGTAGTAGATTGTAGTGGATT